TTGGATACTATTACATTTTTGTTCAGGCTTAAGCTATGCACATGCAGAGAGAAGATGAAAGAAGCAGAGAGAGAGAGAGAGACTGCTTTGCTTCATGGCTGCTGAAAGAAGATCTCTCATATGGACACAGAAAGGACAATTTTAAATCTCTCATAAAAGGACATTATGTGAGTTGGTATAACTGATCATATTGTACATATGTTGTTCCGAAGTAAGAAGAGTAAACGACTTGTTCTTTACTGTTGATCTGCGTGGTATTTTTTTTTCTGGCAAGGCAGTGTGTGGGCTGATCAAGCATGAACTACACATGGTTTATTTTACATTAGACCACATAAATGAGTAACTGGCTAATGGTAAAAAGGAAAACAAAAGGTAGGAAATGCCCTGAGTGCTCTGGTAGAGAAATACTGCAGGACATTAGTGCCTTCAAAGCATGCACTTTCATCTGCCAAGCCTAGTAAGGCTGGTCCTGAGGTGCTTAGGCCAAATGTACCCTCCAAAGGCTCCTTTTGTTGTGTCCATCTGTCTCCCTTCTTCCCATGTTTCACTCCAGTGTTCATCAAAACTGCCATGGTTTTTATATCTGTTAAGTTGTAACAAACAGTACGTAGTTACATAGTTTTATGTATTGAAAGTGCTTACTTGAGTGTTTTGTCTCTTTCTTGAATAAAACATACTTTTAAAATAATCACAGATTGCCTTTTGAGGTGTCATTCATGATGATCTTCTACTTCACTGGAGTGAATGGAACTTGCAGAGAGCCTGGCTTAACTGGACTTAGCTTACTCACACCCAAAAGTACACAGCAGAACTTTCTCACCTTTATCTTACATGGTTGTGTTGACATTACACAGTTTTCCTTTCGCTGAATTAATATGTATAGAGGGTGTGATCTTTACCACCTATAAATAGACATGTTGGTTTAATGCTTACCATCCTTGTCGGAAGAAAACCACAAAAGCATGTTCATTATACCGACTGAGAAACGTCTAGTGCATTTCAACAAATCACAAGGTGAGTTCTTTCAATACAGTTTTCTATGTAGTGATGTCCAAGGAAAAGATTTCTAAGCGCATTTTTGTATTGTGGCTTATGATTTACTTATCAGATCAGCAGTCAGTCAGTCAGAAAGAAAGAAAGAAAGAAAGAAAGAAAGAAAGAAAGAAAGAAAGAAAGAAAGAAAGAAAGAAAGAATATAATAATAATAATAATAATAATAATAATAATAATAATAATAATAATAGGAAAAGTTGATAAGGAGAAGACCTGGTTATGCCTCATGAATGGAACACTGAAGAAGGAGACAGAAGGCCTGATTCTTGCAGCCCAGGAGCAAGCCATCAGAACAAATGCAATTAAGGCAAGGATTGAAAAATCAGCTGATGACCCAAAATGCAGACTGTGCAAAGAAGGTGATGAAACCAGGGATCATATCCTCAGTTGTTGCAAGAAAATCACACAGATGGTCTACAAACAAAGGCACAACTCTGTGGCCCAAATGATTCACTGGAACTTATGTCACAAGTACCACCTGCCAGCAGTAAAGAATTGGTGGGATCATAAACCTACAAAGGTAGTAGAAAATGAACATGCAAAAATACTGTGGGACTTTCAATTCCAGACTGACAAAGGTTTGGAACACAATACACCAGACATCACAATTGTGGAAAAGAAAAAAGTTTGGATTATTGATGTCACCATACCAGGTGACAGTCGCATTGAGGAAAAACAACAAGAAAAACTCAGCTGTTATCAGGACCTCAAAATCGAACTGCAAAGGCTCTGACATAAACCAGTACAGGTGGTCCCAGTGGTCATCAGCACACTGGATGCCATGCCAAAAGATCTCAGTCGGCATTTGGAAACAATAAACATTTACAAAATCACGATCTGTCAACTGCAAAAGGCCACCTTATTTGCATCTGCACGCATCATTCGAAAATACATCATACAGTCCTAGACGCTCGGAAAGTGTTTTGACTTGCGATTTTGTGATACAAAATCCAGCATATAGATCTTGTTTGCTGTGTCATACTGTGTTTTGTGTCAATAATAATAACAATAATAATAATAATAGGGGGTTGGACTGGATGACCCACGAGGTCTCTTCCAACTCTATGATTTATGATTCTATAATAATAACTTTATTTTTGTACCCACCTCCATCTCCCTGAAGAGACTTGGGGCAGCTTACATGGGGACAAGCCCGATCAACATAGTTAAAATAGCACATTAAAATTAAAAAAACAGCAACATAAAGCAAAATAAAATAAAAACAAACAAAACATGAGCATAACGCAATATAGAAACAACCATCACAAACAATCAGTAGTCTGAAATCGCAAAACAGTCCTAGGCTTGGGGGGGGGGGGGAGATAAATAGTTGTGGAGAAAGGGCTGATTGATAGTTGTCATGATTGGGGATAAAGTGCAATATGAGGTGGAAAACTATATTTCTGGGCATGGGACAGTAGAAAAGTGCAGGGATTGAATTTTGGGTCATTGCTGAAGGCCAAAATCTTCTGGGGAACCGTCTAATCAAAAGCACAGTCAAAACTATGTTTAATATTCTACCACTATCAGCATGATTGGATAGAACTGAAAAAACAGTGCTAATAACTCAACCTAACATGTTCCAGTTCTTGTTTTGCAATAATTTCCCCAAGGGATATTTTGTGAAATGTATGTTAACAGCCCTTTTAGACAGACATGCACAAACTACTGAGCTGATTAACAGCCCAAACAGAAAGCATTTTTGTAAAAGCAGCATATCAATTATTTCCATTCAAGTGAGATAGTTAAAGATCTGCAAACAAAAGGGCAGATTCAAATTCAGTTACATTAAATGCTAGCAGTTCCAAAAAATATTCAAAAGAATTAGGGCCTCACAAAACCAAACAAATTAAATCACATAAAAGAGGGACATTTCTGCTTCCAAACTAACTTTGAGGGATGTTTCCACAACTTCTGTTCCTACCCTTCTGGGAATGGGGAGAGATGTACTGTTTCCTTCCTATCTCACACGAGTGCTAAGAGCAGCTTCAGAAGTAAACAGAAAGCAATAGGAAGTGGTCAAAGTAACATTGCTTCAAATCTTTCCTCTGCTGAGGACATCTGATTTGTTAGGTGGTTCCTGTTTCCAGCAAATTTTCTTCTCCAGTCTATCTTTAGTGTTATAGTGGTAGTGTGTTGGTGTCATTGCTCTTTTAAAAAAACAAGTTCAGAGGAAAATATTGCACATCAAAACATAAAAACACTCCAGTGAATCTTGTCCCAGTTTTAAAAGGAAGGTATTATGGAAAAGGCTCGCGTGGAAATCTAATAAATCATCACAAACATCCCTGACCCAAAATCTGGAAGGAATGGATGTGGAGATGACAACAATGTGCTTCTTTAGGCCAATCTGAAAGAGTCCAAAGTAGGCCCTTGGCATACGCTGACACTCCAAGTCCCCCGTGAACAACACAATCAGCGGGCTCTGAAGTCATGTTATTTACAATCCCATGGGGAAATAGTATCCCATATACAAAATAGGAGACCCCGGTGGCACAGCAGGTTAAACCATTGAGCTGCTGAACTTGCTGACTCAAGGGTTGGCATTTTGAATCCAGGGAGTGGGGTGAGCTCCCGCTGGTAGCCCCAGATTCCACCAACCTAGCAGTTCGAGTAGATCAATAGGTACTGCTTCTGTGGGAAGGTAACGGTGCTCCATGCAGTCATGCTGGCCACATGACCTTGGAGGCATCTATGGACGCTGGCTTTTTGGCTTAGAAATGGAGATGAGCACCACCCCACAGAATTGGACACAACTAGACTTTATCTTTACCTTTTATATAAAATGGCAAAAATAAAAGTTTGCTTTCTGAGGTTTTGAAGGTATTTTCAAGCTGTGGATGTCTGAATCTTTGGATACAGAATCTGTGGATATGGAGGCTCAACCATACATGGATAAACTGATTTAAGGTATGATCCTGTGGACCCCTTTGAGACCCACTACTAGGTACTGTGCAACATTCAAGAATGCAATCCTAGGATGCGGCTGGGGGTTGGGGTGGTTTAAAAGCAACTTGTGATACTTGTTTTAAAGCACATTAAAATTCAACCTTGTGAACATTTTCCTGCTCCCACAGCAAACACTGCTGTTCACTAACCTAGGGAAATTCAGTGGCTAGAGACAAATAGCAACTGCTGATACAGCCTTTCATGGATGAGTGCTTTGGGAGCATGTGACTGACTTTTCTAGGGAAATCACCTTCAGATTCATCAATGCGTATCTTCTATTCAGGAAGCTATGAGAATTTTTCACTGCTCCGGTGAAACCTCTGACTCCATAGTGTGCAAATAAATTAACTGTGGCCGTCTCTCTGTCCCTCCCTTCCTCTCTCTCTCTCTCTCCCTCCCCCCACCCTCTCTCTTTCATTCTTTTTTCTAGAAATTCACATCCTGTACTGCATAACTTGCAGAAATTGACTGGCCAAACCCAAACTAATACCCTATATTAATGGCATGTTCAAAAGTCAACATAAATTCAGAGATCTAGGGCATACATACCTTACATAAATAATTCCCATTTTATTCCAAAATGCCATTATTTACAATCGAAATCACATTGTTTGGAAACCTACTGTGAGATTATATTATGAGGTTGGATCACTAATCTGCTTTCACCTGTTTCCAGTCCATTCTTCTGATTCAGCAAACAGCATTTTTGTTTGTTTTGTTTGATTCTATGCCTGCTTCTCTACTCCAATGTTTTAGGTGTCATTACACACCTAATTCGGGATTTTTCCCCATACAGTAATTGTGCTGTATTTTAGTATATATAGTCTAGTTCTCATTTCCTAAAGCAGTTCTTCTTTTGTAAGTAAATCCCATTATTCCATATTCAAAGTCTTTGTTTTCTTCTTCTTTCTTATCTTCTTCTGAGGAGAGGGTTAAATATTTTCACACTTGTATACAGTTTTTGCAACTTTTATTGTAGCATTGTAAATAAACCATTCTGCATGCAACTGCATCTAAGAGTGTATTATATAAATAGTGATACATTTATTCTATGTGTGTGTTTGTATTTTTAGTTGTTGCATTCTTTGGAGTTAGTGGAACATGTTCTTGCATTTATCGGAATGCCACTATCATTAAACACTCACATGTTTCCAAAATGCTTCCTAGTTTGTTCCCATTATTTGCACCTCAGTTCCTCAACACTCTGAGCTATGCCAGTTGGCAACAAGAAACCCAGAGGTTCTGGTTTTATATATGCTGGCTTTGGCATTCTCCCTTTCGTTAGTTCTATGGATGTTGACCGAGAAATCCACCCTTTTTGCTGTGTTTCACTGTTGTCCTGCTGCTTCCTCCTGGAGTATCTTTCTGTGGAAACAGCTACAGGTAAGCTTTTTCGCCATGTATTCTCTGCTTCTTTTTTCCTCTTGCTTGCTGTCTGCTTCTGATTTGCCTGAAGGGGAGAAAATGGAAGAAATCTTAACATGTGGAGTGAATCCTGGACATGTACAAATGCCACCCAATCCTTTGAGGTGACATTTCATTGGCATGATCACTGTCTGTACAGTGAATGTTTCAACTATTGCCTGTGTGTCAAACTTAAGACCCATGACCTAAATACAGCCCACCATGTCATTTTAGGTGGCCCTCTAGATGCTGGACTACAATGCCAGTGTTCCTCATAATTAGATATAATGACTAGATTTGATGGGAGTTGTGATACAGTAAAATCTGGGAGGCTGCAGTTGGTTCTGTTTAGTCAGGATAGTGGAGCTTGCATTTAGATACATGGCTTGTGGATATGATGTCAGTCTGAAATCTCTTTAACCTTTCCCTAACCTCAGAGCCACAAGTGTTGTTGTGTTGTAATGCCCATTATTCCCAGATGATAGATGGATAGATAGATGGATAGATCACTGCTCTAGGTACTCCAGCATGATGTTATGGTCAATGTCTGCCAGAAGCTGAACACAGAGTTGCCATGGAGAAGATACAGATTCCTAGAGAGAACATTTTTATCAAATCCATGAATAACCAAATCTACAAAAGTTGAACTCACAAATGTAGAGGGCTGACTGTTGTTCTTTCCTAAGTCAAGCACTTCATCTATGTACCTCCGCCAGGTGTGAAAATACAAATGAGTAACCTGAATATTCTCCGTCCCTCTATTGCCCATCCAGAAAAATATTTCTTTACTGGACATTAAACCTTAATTAAAATTTCAAAATTGAATCAGTTTGAAATTGGGTTATGAAATCTACTCAGTGGAGAGTTCTGTTATATTAAAACTTACCTCCTTCTGCCACAGCTTGCTTAATGTTTCTTCAATGCGTTCCATGAGGGCAGTGTGTGCACCTCGTTGGCTTTTGAACCTCTGAAGATGAAATCATTAAAAGAACATGAGAGAACTGCTGAATACCTCTGCTTCCAAACAGACACTCATAACTGAATGGGAATTCACAGAAACCAAGTCACTTACAGACAGTTACTCTACAGTCTACACTCAGATCTTCTAAGGGAAGCCGACTCTATCTCTGAGCAAAACTGGTAAAAACTGTACTGGAAAAATGCATCAACATTATAAACTGAAGACTATCCATAGTAGTAGTCATAGGGACCCACATATAGTGATATATTATGAATGTATTTGATAAAATAAGATGAATGTAATGTAATAAGATTGCTGTAATTTTTCATGTAAATTTCTATGAATCACTGTGAATCTGGCTTAAAGCAAACACACACACATATAGTTTCTGTGATATTTTATGATATATTATTACGATCATTCACATGTTTAGCAGAATTCTAATCTCACCTACACCAAAATCCAATTCACAATAAACTTTGCTTGATTAACCTTTTAAAACACTTATTCCTGATTATCATCTTCTGTGTCTCAGGGGGAAAGACTTAGCTTTGGACACCTAAGCCCCCAGTTTTGGGAACAGCTTAGGTGAAGGGATCTATCACACTGTTTTCCTGTGGTGGATAACAAGTTCCAAGCAATGGCCATGGAAATGACTTGAATAATAATCCATCAGACCTAGAAGGTATCATGTTGTGGAAAGCTGGTATAGACAATAATGCAAACTACCTAGCCTGACATTCATCACAATTTACTATCTGCAAGTAAATCTGTTGACTGAAACCCTGCCCACTCAGATGTAATGGGCCTCAATTTGCACAGCAGGCATAACTACTCACATGGTAGCTGCTGGTGATGACTACTGTGATGACCTCAATGACTTTGATTTTTGGTATAATCCCATTGGCAAAGCACAAAGCAAGATACAGCCTGTGTCAATTGGAAGTAGTTCAGCATGCTATAAAGCCCTATCATCTTTCTCTTGGTTGAAAGCCACTTGATAGTTTTGTCTAAAGTAAAACCACAACTTTAAAAAGATTTCCACAATTGTTTACAGCATTCACAGTAGTTGATCCCATGAGCCTACTCTAGTTAGGATCAGCAATTGGATTCAGGCTCATAGCCCTAGTTAATCATCCTTAACAGAGTATAAAGAAGTAAATATGGTGAGAGAAGAAAATGAATCTAGTGTGCTAGATCTAATGATGTGTATTACATATTTATGCATTTCTGTGAAGTAAAATGCAAAAAGGAAATAAGAGAATTAGACAATAGTTCGTGTTAGAGTTGTGACAGCTTTGAGGTTGGGTGTCTATTTTTTCCTTCTTCAAGTGTAGTTTCTTGTTTTGTAATATCTGTTGTTCCATCACATGAGCACTCATTCAAGTGAGAGAAATGCTTTAAGCAACAGGAAGTACCTCGCATGATCCTCTTTACAGTAGATTAATTAAATCATATTAATGAGAGGAGACATGATGACCATGTATAGATATGTGAGGGGAAGTCATAGGGAGGAGGGAGCAAGCTTGTTTTCTGCTGCCCTGGAGACTAGGGCATGGGACAATGGCTTCAGATTATAAGAAAGGAGATTCCACCTGAACATTAGGAAGAACTTCCTGACTGTGAAACCTGTTCAGAAGTGGAACTCTCTGCCCCAGAGTGTAGTGGAGGCACCTTCTTTGAAGACTTTTGAACAGAGGCTAGATGGCCATTTGCCGGGGGTGCTTTGAATGCGGTTTTCCTGCTTCTTGTCAGGGGTTGGACTGGATGGCCCATGAGGTCTCTTCCAACTCTATGATTCTCTGATTCCATATTTGTTAAAATACATTTGGGCCCAACCACTGAAAATAAAAATACCAGAAGACAAAGAAATCAGAAGTAGTAGGTTGAAAGTTGCAGTAAAAATGTAAACCCCCGGAAGAGAAAAAAGAGGAACAGTGCATATACTCCTTTATAAGTAATGTCTGCGCCTACACTATTCTCTCACTATTTTCCATGTAGACAAGGCAGAAAATGTGCTAAAACTAATTTCTGTTTCAGAAAATTGATTTTGTGCATGCATGTGAATACATACTGCTTTGATTTTGCCTTCTATTGTTGAATGGATACAAACATTTTTTAAACACTCAACTTACTAAATAACGCCAAACTATTTTGTGATCCACTACAAAGTTTTTATGATCCATTACAATATCTCTTTATAATAAATAAGATATACAGATTTTATCAAACAGCAGGGAAATGCTTAATATTAATTGACACAATACATTAGAGGATGATATGAACTATGGTTAAGATTAGGTATTTTACTCTGTATGTATTAAAAGTCATAGTGCAAGAGCACACACAATCTCAGCCATGTAAATGGACATGTTAGCGGACAGGCAAGAACATTCTTCCACAATTACCACATTTGTGAACATGCATTTCCACCTTTCCTCCCCAAAGCTTAGAAGTAATATAACTACAGTAGTTTTCCTGTCCTAAAAGGTGAGGATGATTCAGAAGTAATGTAATTAAAAGGACTGAGGATGCTCCTCTAATGTAACAAGTAACATTTTCTAGCTATGCAAAAAGTTATGTTTAAAGGGCATTTTAAGGCATTTTAGAGACAGACTTATGACACAGGTTTTTCAAATTGTATGCTTTTTCTTTTTAACTTTCAGCTTATTCTTCCACAAAAATGCAACAAGAACGAGTGCAAAAAGTTACTTTTTCAAGTTGCATTGAATAACAATTAGATTCCTTTTCCAATACAGTTATTACTTTCACAAAATACCTTTCAAAGTTGTGCTCCTCATGCATCATTAAATACCTCAAATGACTGAGCAATGACTCTGGCTTGGTTTCCAGAGCTGTCCCTGCTGTCTTGAGGATGCCTTATGGAGATACCTTATTGAGGATGATTCATCACTGGAATCAGAAAACCCAAAGTTTCTTCTGATTCCAGGAAGCAATTAGATAGGTAAATCTCACCCTCTTTCTCCCAGTCTACACTATGCTCTTTGTGAAACATGCAATGTCTTGATGCCAGTGTCTCTCAACTGTGCAAAGCATTCTCGGAAGCTTTGCTGATGTAAACCAACACAGAGCTGCTTATTGCATCACATTTGTGAAACAGTGTGCATTTTCCAAAGCACGCCATTGGCAGTTTCATCCTTACATGCTTCCTTTCCCATCATCTAACATCTTCTTTCAAATAAAACATTCAAAAGACACTTTGCAAATGATGGCATCTTAGATTAAAATCAGGAAAGTTCTCAATTTTGCAGATGCGCCAAGTATTAGGGCAATTTGGCAAACTGAAATCCTCATTAAATTCACTCCAGACAAACTCAGAGAAGAAGAAAAAGAAAACAAGAATATATGTTGTACTAACCGTGAAAGAAACTGTTTTGGCTGGCCAAGGTTCTTTTGTTAGAATCAGCCTTGAATCCCACTTGAGTTCCACAGGCTTGTAGGTAATAAATTTTTCTCTTGATCTAGAAGGCCGCTTGTCTGTCAAAGGATGCAATCCATGGACTAAAGGGGTTAAATTAAAAACAAAAAGACAGACTGTGAAAAAATATTCATAAATCAATGTTTATTTGTACCTCGCCACCATCTCCCCAAAGAGACTCAGGGCAGCTCACAGAAGCACTTCAGGTGCCACACAACAGACAACAATACATAAATGTAAATACAATGACATAAATACAACCAACAGCACATAAAAACCTCACCAATAAAATTTTAAAATTCCTTAAACACAGTATAACCTGCGGGTAAGCCAGCTATCTGTCATAACAGTCAAGGTACAGGGCAGTACTATCAATGATTCATCACATTGACCATGGATTACTCAGGATCAAAGGCCAACAATCCAAACTTCGAGCGAAACAAAAACTAAGACCTTGATTTTGGATTGTGGCATGGAGGAGGAGAGGTGTTCCACTAGCCGAGGGGCCCCCATAGAGGTCGTGGTGGGGAGGGGGAGATGCGGAAAAAGGAGACCTCGAATTCGGCCTAATTCGGACCGCTTATCTACATTAATAACCCCAAACCGGTCTCCTAAGGTAAATTGGTGTAACCAGGTGAGTGGGCCCTCTGGATTGAAGGTGGTGCTGTTGAATGCCAGATCTGTCAACGGAAAAACGACCTGGATCCAGGACCTAATCCTGGATGAGCGGGCAGATCTGGCGTGCATTACGGAGACCTGGCTGGATGAAGCTGGGGGCGTAAATCTTACCCAGCTTTGTCCTCCAGGCTTCTCCGTACAGCACCAACCGAGATCCGGAGGACGGGGAGGCGGGGTCGCAGTGGTCTATAGAGATTCCATCCATCTGACCAGGAGTCCCATCCCGCAGACCACAAATTTTGAATGCGTCCACCTGAGGGTGGGTGACCGGGACAGAATAGGGATTCTGCTAGTGTACCGTCCACCTCGCTGCACTACAGTCTCCCTACCTGAGCTAGCGGGGGTAGTCTCGAGCCTGGCGTTGGAGTCTCAACGGCTTCTTGTGCTGGGGGACTTCAACATCCATGCCGAGGCGACCCTCACAGGAGCGGCTCAGGACTTCATGTCTGCCATGGCAACCATGGGGCTGTCCCAACAAATATCTGGCCCCACCCACTGTGCTGGACACACATTGGACTTGGTTTTCTGCCAGGGATGGGAGCAAGGTGGCGGTGTGGAGGAGTTGTCCATCTCTCCGTTGCCATGGACCGACCACTTCCTGATCAGATTTAGGCTCACTGCGCCCCCTAACCTCTGCAAGGGTGGAGGACCCACTAAGATGGTCCACCCCAGGAGACTGATGGATCCGAATGGATTCCTGACGGCTCTTGGGGATTTTCCTGCCACCTCGGTAGGTGACCATGTCGAGGCCTTGGTCGCTCTCTGGAATGGGGAGATGACCAGGGCAATTGACATGATCGCTCCGGAGCGTCCCCTCTCAAGTAGCCGAGCTAAACCAGCTCCTTGGTTTACTGAGGAGCTGGCAGTGATGAAGCGAAGGAAGAGGGAACTAGAGAGCGTGTGGCGTTCGGATCCAAGCGAGTCAAATTCGAGCACGGTTTGTGTCCTTCTTAAGGGCATATGCCGCGGCAATAAAAGCCGCAAAGAAAACTTTCTTTGCGGCCACTATTGCGTCTGCAAAAAACCGTCCGGCGGAGTTGTTTCGGATTGTCAGAGGTCTTTTAACTCCCGCCACCTTAGGCGGGAGCCCTGACAATTCGGTCACGCGCTGTGAAGCATTTGCTCGGTTCTTCGCAGACAAAGTCGCTTTGATCCGTTCTGAGCTGGACACCATGTTAAATGCAGTCTCCGTGGATGTAACAGGAGCACCTGCTTGTCCTATTTTGATGGATTCTTTTCAGTTTGTGAAACCCGAGGATGTGGACAAGATACTCGGAGGAATGAGGCCCACCACGTCCATCCTAGACCCCTGCCCATCCTGGCTTCTGAAGGAGGCCAGAGGGGGATTGGCTGAGTGGGTAACGGTGGTGGTTAATGCCTCCCTTAGGGAAGGCAAGATTCCAGCGTGCTTAAAACAAGCAATTATAAAACCGCTATTGAAGAAACCATCATTGGACCCCACTAAATTTGACAACTTTCGGCCTGTTTCCAATCTCCCCTTTTTGGGCAAAGTCATGGAAAGCGTGGTGGCTTCACAACTCCAGGTATACTTTGAATGCGATTTTTCTGCTTCTTGGTAGAATGGGGTTAGACCGGGACATGGTACCGAGACGGTCTTGGTCGCCTTAGTGGATGATCTGCGCCGGGAGCTAGACAGGGGGAGTGTGTCCCTGTTGGTGCTCCTGGACCTCTCAGCGGCCTTCGATACTGTCGACCACAGTATCCTTCTGGGGCGCCTTGCGGAGATGGGCCTTGGGGGCACTGCTTTGCAGTGGCTCCACTCATTTCTGGAGGGCCGCACCCAGAAGGTGTTATTGGGGGACTCCTGTTCTACGCCACAACCTTTGACTTGTGGGGTTCCACAGGGTTCCATACTGTCCCCCATGCTGTTTAATATCTACATGAAGCCGCTGGGTGAGATCATCCGGAGTTTCGGGGTGCGGTGTCATCTGTACGCAGATGATGTCCAACTCTGTCACTCCTTTCCACCTGCTACTAAGGAGGCTGTCGAGGTCCTGAACCGGTGCCTGGCCGCTGTAACGGTCTGGATGAGGGCGAACAAACTGAAATTAAATCCAGACAAGACAGAGGTACTCCTGGTCAGTCGCAAGGCCGAACGGGCTATAGGGTTACAGCCTGTGCTGGATGGGGTCGCACTCCCCTTGAAGGCGCAGGTTCGCAGCTTGGGTGTGACCCTGGATTCATCGTTGAGCCTGGATCCCCAGGTTTCAGCAGTGACCAGGGGAGCATTTGCACAGCTCCGGCTCGTGCGCCAGCTGCGCCCGTATCTCGGGAAGTCTGACTTGGCCACGGTGGTACACGCTCTGGTCACATCCCGGCTTGACTACTGCAACGCTCTCTACGTGGGGCTGCCCTTGAAGACGGCCCGGAAGCTTCAGCTGGTTCAGCGCGCGGCAGCCATGTTACTAACTGGAGCGGGATACAGGGAGCACACAACGCCCTTGTTGTCCCAGCTCACTGGCTGCCGATTTGCTACCGGGCCCAATTTAAGGTGCTGGTGTTTACAAAGCCCTAAACGGTTCCGGCCCAAAATACCTTTCGGACCGCATCTTGGCCTATGAGCCCACGAGGACCTTGAGATCGTCTGGGGAGGCCCTTCTCTCGATCCCGCCTGCCTCACAGGCACGTCTGGCGGGGACGAGAGAGAGGGCCTTCTCAGTGGTGGCCCCCCGGCTGTGGAACACTCTCCCTACAGACATCAGACAGGCGCCCTCCCTTATGTCCTTCCGAAAAAGCCTTAAGACATGGCTGTTCGAGAGGGCATTTAATTAAGTGCTATAAAATGTGGTAAAGCTGACTGGAATGGAACAAGGAATACGAGATTGGTTACGATTCTACTATGAGACGAAGCGGATTAGTTAGTGTAATTTTGTAATTTTGTAATTTTATAATTGTTGTATTACTGTATTGCTAATATGTTGTTTGTAATTGCCTTTTTTGTAAATTGCCTTTTTATGCTGTACACCGCCATGAGTCGCCCTAGAGGGCTGAGAATGGCGGTTAATAAATGCACCAAATAAATAAATAAATAAATAAATAAAATTACTCAGGATCAAAGGCCTGTCTGAAGAGCCATGTTTTTAGACTCACCAGGAAGGCCTGAAGAGAGGGGGCTAACCTAATTTCTTTAGGGAGGGTATTCCAGAGCCAGGGAGCCACCATTGAGAAGGCCCTCTCTCTCGTTCCCACCAACCGTACTTGAGACAGTCGTGGGACCGAGAGAAGGGCCTCCCCAGCAGATCTTAATTGTGTATGGGATTGCTTATTAGTTATTAATGAAAAATGTGTAAATTAATTGTCATTGTTTATTGAACTATTGCTGTTTTTATTGTCTTTACTGTTTGTGAACCGCTGTGAGTCGCCCTCGAGCTTGAGATACAGCGGTATATAAGCATAGTATAAAATTAAAAAATGAATGCCCATGCCAGTTCGTAGAAGGAGATGTGGTCTCGAAGATAGATTGGACCCGAAGTGTTATAGGTAATCACCTGCACTTTGAATTGGGCCAGGAAACTTATCGGGATTATTGTCAATGGCCAGACAATTTAAAACAGGGTCTTCAGAAATTTTAAGCAGAGCACTGGTTCACAGTCCCTCTGATTGTTGGGGGATCGAACAATAGGTTTTTTTTTTTAAAAAAAAAACATGAACTAGTTCCTATGGATACTGTACGTATTCTAATTGTAGTGCAAAAACCATGAAAGAACAATACAATACTCAAAATGAAAAACAATTTTAACCAACAAACTTACCAGTATTTCAATGGGAAGTGTGGGCCTGCTTTTGACAGATGAGATAGCCAAATTAATTAGAGTGGTTGTTGTTGTTGTTGTTGTGTGCCTTCATGTCATTTCAGTTTAGGGTGGGGGCCGGGTAAATGACATTGGAAGGCCGCATCTGGCCCATGAACCTTAATTTGGGGACCCCTGGTTTAAAAAGTTACTAGTCATAGTTGCTACACATTCCCCAACTCTTAAGATTTGGCTGGGACAAATCATCTCATTTTTCTGTCCCATTTTCTCTCTCCTCCCACCATCTCCATTTGTCCTCAGCTTCAATTGCTGCAAACTGAGTTAAAAGTACAAAAGTAATTTTGCTCAGTTAACTCAAGAAGAGGAAGAGGGAAAGTCTTGCCCTTCCATTAGGCTCACGAAAAAAGCAAACTGCTGCAGCAGTTCCTAGCATGTGTGCTCTTTCTAATTAATAACTTTTGCCATTCAGACCACATTCTAATATTGTCAGTTCACACATATCATAGTTTTCACCTGGAATATTGCATCCAATTCTGACCAACAATTCAAGAAGGATATTTACAAGCTGGAACCTGTTAGTTCAATCAAGTTCACAATTATCTGTGACTTTCATTAATCACAATACATTCAGGAATATATCTCTCACAGATACAGGTAATGTACTATACAATTTTCCCCAAAAGAACAACCTGTCACAGTTGAAGTACAAGCCCCCTTTAGTTTTTCCTTGGAGTATTTCAATTCTAATATTTATTACCATAATATTGCAAGGTTCAAATTATAACATTTCTGTGACTTATATGGTGAATGGGAGCCCCCGGTGGTGCAGCAGGTTAAAGCACTGAACTGCTGAACTTACTGACCAAAAGGCTGGCAGTTCGAATCCGTGGAGCAGGGTGAGCTCCTGCTGTTAGGCCCAGCTTCTGCCAACCTAGCAGTTCAAAAGCATGCAAATGTGAGTAGATCAATAGGTGCCACTTCGGTGCTAAGGTAACAACACTCCATGCAGTCATGCTGGCCACATGATCTTGGAGATTTCCATGAACAACACTGGCTCTTCGGCTTAGAAATGGAGATGAGCACCACTCTCCAGAGGCAGACATGATTAGATTTCACGTCAAGAGTAAACCTTTACCTTTACTTATATGACAAATGTTATAGCACCCTTTGTGAGTCAGGAAAAGCTTACTTATATACATCACTTGCTTGACTACTATCAGATCCTCTGAAGATGGCAGTTACAGATGCAGGTGAAATGTCAGGAGAGAATGATACTAGAACACAGTTATACAGCCTGGAAACCACACAACACCCCAGTGATTATGGCCATGAAAGCCTTCGATAATATAACTTACCTTCACTTAAACACTGCGATTTCAACTTTAGATTCAGAGGGTCTCTGGCATAACTTGTCACAAAATTTGGCACATGTTTTTCATACTGTAAAGGGGGGAAAGGGAGAGGGAACACATTGATTTGCTGGTCAACACTTTTGACATAGTTTGGTTTGTTGTCCCTTTCTTTGCCATTCATTCACACTTTTCTACCCTTAATCCATCTCAGTACAAATGGTACAGAAAGACAGCAATCATTTTTGTTATCTCACCATGCTTCTTGCTTGCTAGAAATTTTAACTTTTTGTCATGGTATATTTTATTTATTCATTTTAACTAGGTGTGGTGATTATGTGTGTGTGTCCATGTGTTCAAGTCACCTGTTGACCGATGGTGACCATTTAATAATAATAATAATAATAATAATAATAATAATAATAATAATAATAATAAATTTATTACAGTCAATGACCAGCATCAAAAAATGTACAAATGTCAGAATAGGCAAATATACATTTGGGTATTAAGAAACAATGTAAAAAGTAAAGTTAAAACCCAGTATTGAATAAGATAGTTAAAATGGTATTAAACATTTAGATGCTAAAATGACAATGGTAAAAACCGAAATAAATATTAAAACTTTCTAAGACTATGACAGCATCTTGTGTCAACAAGCTATTGCTGCTGCAGAGAAGCTAGCAACTTTAGCAGTAATTTTGGGGTATTGGCCAGCCAAAAGATAATCAACATAAAACTTTACAGATCTCCCTGGTAAACTTTCTAAAATTGGATTTATAAAATGTTTACGAAGGTCTTGGTAAAAAGAGCAGCACAATAAAACATGCTCCACAGTTTCCATTGCCTCCACCTCACAGGGACATAGGTGCTCATTGTATGGTACCTTGTTACTTTGTTATGGTGATCCTTTGAATGTCATAGGATTTTCTTAATCAAGGAGTACTTAGAGGTGGTTTTGGCAGTTACTTCCTCCAAAATATAGCCTACAGGACCAGGTTTATATTAACAGTCCCACATCCAAGTACGAACCAGGGCTGATTTTTCTTAGCTTCCTGGACAAGCTGGGATCTTTAGGACTTTGAGTTCCATGTAGTTATACATCTGTGATTTTTTGCCTCCAAGGCACTTTGGGGTTTTCTTCATGGACAAATGGCAAGACAGAACTGTCTGAATGTGAGCAAGCAAACGAATGAACAATATGTTCCCAGAAGAATTTTTTTCCTGCCACATCCAGTTCTTATTATTAAACTGCTCAGCTAGCAATGCAAACCAGCTTTATAAGCCTCTAAGACCTTCATACACAAAGACACACCACAGCTGGTTAATAATATACAGTCTCTTCCTTGTTTAAGAGTGAAACCAGTTATCTGATCAAACCAATCTCTTTATATATAGAACTGCCAATCTCATCCTCTCAGTACTTTTTTTTAATTGGCCCAATTTAAGTGAGAGTAAAGGCTGTTACACAAAGAAGGCTTGTAACCCTTGAGTGGTGTTTTTATGGCTAATTAGATTACAGTATATTCTGGCGTATAAGACTACTTTTTAACCCAAGAAAATCTTCTCAAAAGTCAGGGGTCGTCTTATACGTGGGTGTAGTTTTATGCATGGGAGTCGTCTTAACTCTATATTTTAACTGGAAAAGTTGGGGGTCGTCTTATACGCCCAGTCGTCTTATATGCCGGAATATACGGTACCTAGTTTAATCTAATCCTTACATAAATCATAACAATATGTCTAAAGCAGGAAACCATGTAATTTTAAATTTTAAAAGGACAAGTGTTCCACTCAGAAGGCATTGATCAGACAGATAACTATGTAACCTCTATATGGTGCAACCTTGTATTCTTTTAAGACCATGTCCTATACCCTCTGACATTTTACAGACAAAAATCAGGACATATGTGAATATATCACAATATAGATGGAAACATGTGCCTTTTTTGTAACCCTCCCTGAGTCCCCTGCGGGGTTGAGAAGGATGGGATATAAATGAAATAAGTAAGGTAAACGAAAGGTTTTCCCCTGACATTCAGTCTAGTCGTGTCTGACTCTGGGGGTTGATGCTCATCTCCATTTCTAAGCTGAAGAGCCGGCATTGTCCATAGACAACTCTAAGGTCATGTGGCCAGCATGACTGCATGTAGTGCTTTTACCTTCCCGCTGGAGCTGTACCTATTGATCTAACTCACATTTGCATGTTTTCGAACTGCTAGGTTGGCAGAAGCTGGGGTTAACAGTGAGAGCTCATGCTGCTCCCCAGATTCAAACCTTCGACCTTTCGATCAACAAGTTTAGCAGCTCAGCAGTTTAACCCACTGTGCCATCAGGGACTGCACACACACACACACACACACACACACACATGTAATGGATCTCAGCTTAGTTTTGTTCATGTTGAATATTCGTAAGCCATCATCAAGCACTGTGATTTAATGAGGAGGAACATATCCAGCTACCAAAGGCTGCAGCAGTTTGCTTTTGCCTGAGGCTACAGAGGAAGGTAATATTCTTCTCCCCCTTGATAAGTTAATTGAGTAAAACTATTTCACACTTTGAACTCAGTTTTGACTTAATTAAGCTGAGAACAAAAAAGGGAAGTTAGGATGGGGAAATAGAAACTGAGATATTTTAAAAGTAGATGGAAAAGTAGGATGACCAGTGACCATGCATTATTGTAGATTCTCATATAGAAGTCTGGTTGCATACTTCAAGTCCACGACATGTGAGTATGAAGAAGAGCAAACCTGTTCTGTCGCGCGCTGGGCCTGTAAATAGTTGTCTTTAAAACAGGACGTGCAACCTTTGCCCAACAGGAAGCCAGGGGGCCTAAAGAGAAGTTCTCAGAGGATTCCACCACAAACAGTCTTTAGATGGTTTGAGAAGTACAACAAAGTCTTTTATTAATGAACAATCAAACAGAAACTTCTCTTGTCTTCAGTAAAGTTAAGTAAATGATTCCAAGCTTTTGGGCAACTGGTGAATTCCTAAACTTGCCCACGAAGGACAGGCAACTATCTTCAAAAACTTCTTTAAAGGAAAATCCCCTTTTTAACTTCTCCCAGGCTGACTAAACTTAAACCTAACTGATGTGGGCACCACTACTGGGTTGAACCGCATCTCAAAGCACCGAGTGGACCTACCAGCAAGGCCTGTAGTCTCTTCAGCTGGAGTTCTTTGATCTTTAGGGCTGTTTCCCTGGAAAGTCTTTGGAGACTCTTTTCCTTCTGTTTCTGTTGGAATTTCAGTAACCCTGGAAATTCTTAAAGGTTGAAGCTTTTGTACAGGGGAAGCTTTACACACGTCCTGTACATAGCTTTCCTTGCTGAGACTAACTAAAAAATGGCTCCCTTCCCAATTGCCTTGAGCAAGGGTGCGGGACCAAACTTAATGATGATGGACAGGCGGCTTGCCCTATAACTGCAACCAAAGAAGCCACCTATCTGCAGAGTCCCTGAAACTTAGGACTGCAAAGCAAACAAAATTGGAGCTCCTGGTACAGCTGTACCAGAACAAAACCACAGACCACTTACTGCAATGCAGTCTGAGCCCTGACACATGCTCAATGGAGGACCTTCTTACAGTGACACCAGAGGCACTCCAACTGGCCAGCTTCTGGTCAAAGAACATTTAGTATAATGCCAAGTTTTTAACTTTGTTTGTGGTTTCTCTATACATTATAATTGTATTCTCAATTTGCTTCTGACACAATAAATAAATATAAAAGTATAGAAATTTATTCAAAATCCAGCCACAAACCCTGGATTGACTTATCCATGGTTCAGTTTAAGTACTATATCTCCACTGTTTTTTAAAGGAACCACTCTCTTCTTTAAATAGAATGATGTTTAGTTCATCCCAGGAGAACCTTTAAAAAAAGGACCAATAATTTCTGGCCTTTTTCAATCCCTACTTTTGGAAAATGCCAGCAATGTTGGCAGATCTTTGGCACCTCCCCTCAAAAGAGAGCCAAGAAAGTGTCATGGGAAAGTCAAGGAAGTCAGTGCTTATTCTCTGTTTACCCAGGAGGATCCTCAACTTCTCCACGGATCATGTCAAAATCCATAATTTTGGCCCCTAAACCCTCTTGAGGTCGACATATTCACTAATGTATATGGTATTTGGGACTACTCCTTCCAAATGGGGACAGTTGAAGTCCACATTTTGAAGAAACACAAAGCTCTGTAGAATATATATATATATTTAAAAAACACTATTATCAACACCATCACTAGAGAAAATTGCTAACCTATTTGTTCTGCTTTGGAAACAACACCAAATACTTCAGACTATCGACAACCTAAGAGAAATTTAGACAAGGAAAATACAGCATAAGTTGAGATTGTTTGATAGACAGTATCTTCCCATATAAGCCTATTTGGCCCCTTCCTGATGTGTATTTTGAGTAAGACAAATATGAATGGGTTCCTGAATTAGTAAACTCAACAAAAAATAGCCCACCTATACAGAAAATAGAAAATAAATGAATTCAGCGAATAATTATGGAAACTTGTTATACTGTTCAAATTCATAGTAATCACAAACATATATTGAGTAAGAGACACACTAGTAAATTCTGGCCCCTTCCGCACAGCTGAATAAAACCCCACATTATCTGCCTTGAACTGGGATATATGGCAGTGTGGACTCAGATAACCCAGTTCAAAGAAGATATAGTGGGATTCTTTGCTTTGATAGTCTGGGTTATATGGCTGGGTGGAAGGGTCCTTTGTGATTGAATGAAGGGAAGCAATGCAATGCAGACAGAATGAACGAATTGGGCATAAACTGTAGTGTGTTCAGAAGATTGAGAAACACATTGATCAAAAGTCAAAATTCTCTACTCACCAACAGAGCATTAGTGATTGAATATGAATATTCCTATAGGCAACAAAACATGCCACATAACTAGCTTCACCAGTGATTCCCAAACTAGTCCTCCAGGGCTTTTTTTGTACTTCAACTCCAAGAAGCCTCAGCTGCTTGGACAATGAGCAGGGATTCTGGGAGTTGAAGTCTAAAATACCTAGAAGACCAGAGTTTGGGAAATACTGAGTGACATTATTAAATGCAACCCACAACACTGAATTAAATGAACAAATCTTGTGTCACAAGAGTGCCATCTCCTGGAGATAGTTAATTCTGCTTGATACTTTTTCATTTATACATACAGTGAGGACCATGTTATGTAGCACCATTGCCTGAATTGTCCTCTCTTTAGATCAGTGGTTCTCAACCTGCGGGCCCCCAGGTGTTTTGGCTTACAACTCCCAGAAATCCCAGCCAGTTTACCAGATGTGAGGATTTCTGGGAGTTGAAGGCCAAAACAACCAGGGACCCACAGGTTGAGAACTAGTGCTTTAGATCCACCCAGAGGAAAAGTGTTCTTGCCATACATCAAGGGAACCACTGACTGCATAGGGAAGCTGATGACGAAACACAACATACAAACTATCTACAGGCCCACCAAGAAAATCCAACAAATGCTACGTTCAGCAAAGGACAAGAGGGATCCTCTCACTTCTGCAGGAGTCTACCATATACCATGCAGCTGTGGACAAGTCTACATAGGGACCACCAAACACAGCGCCCAAACACGAATCAAGGAACATGAAAGGCACTGCAAACTACTTCAACCAGAGAAGTCAGCCATAGCAGAGCACCTGATGAACCAACCTGGACACAGCATTTTATTTGAGAACACAGAAATGCTGGACCACTCTAACAACCACCATGTCAGACTACACAGAGAAGCCATTAAAATCCACAAGCATGCATACAATTTCAACAGAAAGGAGGAAACCATGAAAATGAACAAAATCTGGCTACCAGTATTAAAAAAAACTCTAAAATTAAAACAGCAGAGGGAAAACAATCAGGGACATCTAATCACCTCTCAACAAAAGATTGTTCCAGACACTAACAGGCCATCAAATGCTAATCAAAGTGGTCAGTTGAAACATTCACACCTAGCTCCAGCAGGCAAGAGTTCTTTGAACCTCCCTGGTATTTCCACAGATATATAAACCCATTTTCCTAATTCCAACACACCTCACTACCTCTGAGGATGCTTGCCATAGATGCAGGCGAAACATCAGGAGAGACTGCCTCTAGAACATGGCCATATAGTCCAAAAAAACCTACAACAACCCAGTAATTCCGGCCATGAAAGCCTTCGACAATACAGTGCTTTAGATGTTTGTATCTCAGTTCACTGTTAACATTACCTGTCTATGCTCAAATGGTTTGGGATCTTTGTAGCTTGTGCTCTTATACTTCCCGCGCTTCACAAATGATAACTGGGCTTCATAGGGGCCCACATGTGGAAACCTCGTAATGATTTTTGGCTGCTCCTTCTGTTCCATGACCTGGTCAAACAACCTGGACCTTATACTAATCAGTTCATCTTGTACGGTGCTGGCTCTTGAATTCTGCTTCTTCATTTCTTTCGACGTTTCAGGGGGTTTCCTCATGAGGCTTGGAGCTATGTATAGTTTATAGCTAAAATCAGGAGGCTTCCTCGTCCAGCCTTCTTTTTCAGGAGTTTTGGGTTTCCGGCATGTGTGCACCTGATTCCGTGCTAAAGCTAACTCCAGGTTTGTGGTGAACTTTTCCTTTAAATTAAAAGTCCACTTGGATTGGTTCTTGTCATGGATATAAGGAAACATTCTGCATTTGTTTCTTTACACCTAAGGAAAGTAAAAGAAAAACATGGATTATTACATTTTATTCTTACACATCCATTATCATTGTCATCATCATTATCCTACATTTACTCCAAGTTGCTCACATTTATTTATTTATTTATTGAGGGAACTCAAATGGTTTCCAACATAATAATGGCAAAATTCAATGCCATATATACATATGAAAACCAAAACATAATATCTAGACAATAACATATAACTAGAAATTAAAAACATAAATTATATTAAAACATAATGCATAAACAAAATTAGACATTAAAACATAGAATTAAAACATGGAATTAAAACAAATTACTATAAACATTATGAATACTGTAAATAAATAAAATAAATAAACATTAAAATCACATAATCCAAAATTGTAACCTGAAGCCATTCCAATTGTCAATTGCACATATTCCCTATTCAATTCTTGCGCTGCTCACTGACCAAAGTCTTGGTCCCACAGTCATGTCGTTGCTCTCTTTCTGAAGGCCAAGAGGGAGGGCAATGATCTAATTTCACTGGGGAGGGAGTTCCACAGTGAGGGAGGTGGGATTGAGAGCAGGGCCTCCCCAGAAGATCTTACACTCTGATGGTTCATAGAGGGAAATGCGTTTGGACAAGTAAGCTGGGCCAGAACTGTTTAGGGCTTTATAGGCTAAAGCCAGGACTTTGAATTGTGCTCGGTAGCAGACTGGTAGCTAGTGAAGCTGATGTAACAGGGGGTTGTATGCTCCTTGTACACTGCCCCAGTGAGGAATCTGGCTTCCACCCGTTGGACCACCTGCAGCTTCCAAACAGTCTTCAAAGGCAACCCCACGTGGAGCACATTGCAGTACTCTATTTGAGATGTAACAAGATCATGGACCACTGTGGACCACATACATGGTTTTACCCTTCCTTCCTCACAAGCAGATTTTGAATTCATGAAATTAATTAATGAATATACACTTGAATTAATGCAACTTGACACCCCTTTAACTGCCATGTTGCAATGCTATGAAATCCTGGGAATTGTAGTTTGGTGGGGCAGCACTCTTTGGCAGAGAAATCTAAAGCCTTTTTTTAAAACTACAATTTCCACAATTCCATAGCATTGAGCCATGACAGCTAAAGTAGTGTCAGACAGTGTAGATGCATCCTGGATAACTGAAGGTGTGAACTGAAGAAATAATGCAAGATAAGGAAGAGCTGATACAGAGATATGTTCTAGTCATAAAGGCACAAATGAAGGATAATGATTTATTTGGAATACAAACATTCCTCCGGAGCTGTAGCAGAAACTTTAAAAAACACAATTCTCTCCAATCTGAGCACATGTTCCAAAAGTAAAACCATTGTTATTAATACCAGTAAAACTGAAATAGTTAGAAAAATGAGTTGAAAGTTATAAGAGCTGCTACTCACCTGCTCTTAAACCAAATCCTTTTTCAAACTTCTCATGCTGGGTCGCAATCTTTTCTTCACAGTGCTAGGGGAAACCAAGAAAAAATCACAATAATGTTTATTTTGGAAGACGTGTTTTCTTTTTCATTATACAAAAAAGCTTGCTGCTAAGTTTGTTTGGGTTGCTAAGAAACAAGACAATTTTGCCCTTGGATTCCATTTAATTTTTTTTAAAGTCAATGTAAGTAGTGCCACTGTATAAGATCAGCTCAAAACCCAGCAACAGGGCTACATGTTCAAGACTTTAGTTCACGAGCTAGACATCAGAATTATACTAGAAGGTAAATATGTCCAGAGAAAACAGAATGGTACAAAACAGTCATTAGGAGAAACCTGGAACAAAAAAATTGGCTTTACTATTACTAAACGGTTCTGGCTCAGTTTACCTGTCCGAACGTATCTCCCCCTACAAACCATCTCAGAGATTAAGATCGTCCAGAGAGGCCCTGCTCTCAGTCCCACCTCCTTCACAGGCGTGATTGTTGGGAACAAGAGTCAGGGCCTTCTCAGTGGTGGCCCCTCGTCTATGGAATTCCCTCTCCAGCGATATTAAATCAGCTCTTTCCCTCTTGACCTCAGAAAAAGAGTGAAAACATGACTTTGGGATCAAGCCTTTATAGAATAATACAGTGCAATAGATGGATTTGGAACTATGTGCAATGACTACCGGAATGGCCTGGGCTATGATTGCGGATAGCATGGTTTATAGTGGTAATTGGGTTTTTTTAAACTGAGTTAATATTTTCTAACCTTGTTTTTAAATTTTAATTGAAATGTTTATTTAACTACATATTGTTTTTAAGGCATTGAATTATTGACTATGCTGTAAGCTGCCTTGAGTCCCCTTTGGGGTCGTGAAAGGTGGGGTATAAATATGGTGAATAAATAAATACCATTATACTATATATTCCAAACATCCTTAGACAACCTTTTCTCAGGAAATACTTCTGAAAAATGCAAATCCCACAACCATTTGGCTGAGCCTTGATTTATATACTTGGTGAAATTGTGCAGAAGGGCTGAACATGAAGCCTCAAACAGACATCTCCAGTAAGCATTGTGTGGTGAACTGGAAAGAGGAAGAGACTAGGGAATTGTAGAGAAAAAAATATCCCTGTACCTTTGCCATACACTATACTGAATTTATAATGAGGAATTCTGGTAAAATATTAATGAAGAGTTTCCTTGACTTTCTACAATTCTGACCTTGTTTTATTCAGGGTCATTGTGGTGTAGAGCATTAGACTGAGATGTGAGAGTATGATTATTGTATATAGGTGGATAAATCTTGCCAAGGAAAACCATGCTTTGAAGAAACACATCAAGTAAGACAGAGGGTTTTTTTTCTGTCATGAGCGACTTGAGAAACTGCAAGTCACTTCTGGTGTGAGACAATTGGCCATCTGCAAGGACATTGCCCAGGGGATGCCCAGATGTTTTACCATCTTGTGGAAGGTTTCTCTCATGTCCCTGCATGAGAAGCTGGAGCTGTCAGACAGGAGCTCACCCTGCTCCCTGGATTCGCACCACCAACCTTTCAGTCAGCAGTCCTGCCAGCACAAGGATTTAACCCATTGCGTCACTGTGGACTCCTTGTAAAACAGAGTAATCTRTTAACAATCTATTAACAATAACTAATCTGTTCTGTTGCGCGCTGGGCTTGAAACGAATTGCCTTTAAAACAGGACGTGCAACTTTAGCCCAGCGGGAAGCCAGGAGKCYCGAAGAKAAATTTTTAASGATTTTCACCATAAACAGTCTCTAGAGGGCTTGTAAAATATAACAAAGTMTTTTATTGGTGAACAACCAACAGAAACCTATTTTGTCTTTAAAAGGTTAAACAAATGCTTCCAGCCTTTTTWTTTTTTTTTGTGCAACTGGTGGCWTCTAACTGTTACTTTTACTCTAAAGGAAAATCCCTCTCCAAACTTCTCCCAGGCTAATTGTGTTCCTAAACCTAACTGATGTGGATCCACTACCGAGCTGAACTGCGTCTCAAAACCGAGTGGACCTACCAGTAGGCCTGTAGTCACTTAGCTGGAGTTCTTGATGTTTAAAGCTGTTATTCCCTCCAAAATTCCTCGGGGTTGTAAGGCTGTTTCCCTGKGAACCTTTGGGAATCTTTAGATGCTCTTAAAACTGTTCTCCCCCGGGAAGTCTTAAGGGTTGAAGCCTTTGTACAGGAGAAGTCTGTACACGTCTTGTACATTGACTTTCCTTGCTGAGACTCACTGAAAATGGCTCCCTTCCCTTCTCAATTGTCCTGAACAGGGGGCAGAACCAAACTTAACGATGATGGACAGGGGGCCTGCCTTGTAACTGCAAACTTTAACAGGAAGCCACCCTTCTGCAGAATCCCAAGCCTTGGGTTGCAAGAAAACACTTAATGCAAAGCAAATAAAGTTGGAGCTTCTGGTACAGCTGTACCAGCACATAATCTATAAACAAATAAGAATAAATAACAAATAAAAATAGCACTAATGTACTAACAAATAAGAAAATTTACTTGGAACTCAGTGCCAACACTAAAGGTAAGACAGAGTAGCACTAACCTTTAGTGATGGCACAGAGTCCCAAGCAACTTTTCTTATTTGTTGGACTAGTACAAACCTTTAATGATGCCATTAATGGTTACTGCTAGTCCAGCAAATGCAATTCAGATAGCATTTTGCATTTATTGTAAATGGTATATTTCCAGAAGCCCAAATTTATTTGTGAGCGTTGTATGTTTTTCTTCTTCAACTAAATGTGTAACAAATGTAAAAGCTGTAACTCTTGAGATAGTGTCCAGACTACTACATAGAAGAATATTGTGACCTGAAGTAATAATCCTGATTTCTCACGATTTCTCTGCACTACATTTATACTAAATAATGTGAATTTCTTTCAGTGTATTGTTAAAAATGAAAGAAGTCCATATATCAGCAATGTAAAAAATTTAGCTTTTTTGCCACTAGATGGCAGAGTATTACTTGTTGTAGCTGTAAATATTTTTAGTAAAGAAAAGAGCGAAGTTTTGCAAAACAAGTTGGCACTTTTCTAACCTAAGGCACCATTTATTTACACCTGAATTAGAACACTTTAAAAAAGATCAGGAAGCAATGACATCTGTTCTGGGAAAAGATGAAAACAATAAAAAATTAGTAGTGATGGAATCAGGAAAAACCAAAAGGGAATATCTTAAAGCACCAGGATGTTGTTTTTTTTTCTGTTTTTTTCTTCAGAATTCACAAACTGAGAGTTGATACAAGTTGCAATAAGAAGATTCTAAACACTAGATGAGCCTTAAATGCAGACAGTGCCTTAAAGGCAGATGAACCCCAGGCTCAAAATCACAAACAGACGTGCAACAAAGTCACAAGCAATGTGTTCAATTCATAATTTTAAATATTCGTCTAAAACTGGGACTGATTTCTGACACACAACTTAAAATGCTCAAAATCTTTCTCTCCTTTTGTATGAGTGATGATATGACAAAAATTGTGTCCTTTTAAAAATGCAGCTGACAGATTGGTGAGAAGTGAATATACAAA